TGTGGGTGTTGTGTAAATACGCGTTTTTAAACACACTTTTACACGCCCCCTTTAAACGTTCAGATAGCCGCCTCAACTGTACTTTAGGAGTAGGGCTAGCTCGTTCTCTCTCGTGCTTGCCCCTCCGCTCCTTGCGCTAAGTTTCGGCTCCCAACCCTGCCCCCCCTGGGCTTGCATGGGCTCTGGGGGTTTCGCAGCGTGGCTTCGTGGCCCGTCCGTGGGCCGAGGCACGGTCAGGAACCTCTCGGCCTTTTAAGTTTCGGGCCTCGCATGGGGCCCCGCCGCAGCGAACAGATACTTTCGGAGGGTGCCCCCTCCTCTCGAGCCGCTCGCTGTCCTGTGGGTGTGTCTCCTCCCGCTGCTGCGTCGGATATTCTGTGGGGCCTCTTTTCACTAGGGTTGTCGCTCTACCCCCGCCTGCCCCCAGCACTTTAAAATCAAGATTTTAAAGGTACAGGCACGCTCCGAGTTAACATAGGTTCAAGCCTGGCTCTCGAGTGTGGGTGTTGTGTAAATGTGCTTCCTGCCGCGCTTGCCCCCGTCGTGCCAGTCGTGTTCCTGCCAGGGTTGCCATCCTGTCTGCCGGGGCCACTCTGCCTGCTGATCCCGCGGTTGCTGGTGAGGACTGGAGCCCCTGCCGTCTGCTCGGTGTGAGTCCTTGCCAGAGGTGTTCCTGATGCGCCTCTCGCGCATGGCTTCCCAATCAACGTTGAGCCCCGGCTTCTGGCGCATAGCGTGAGCGCCGTAGCCCGCCCTGCGCCAGGTGTCCAGGAAGTCCTTCCAGGTCTGCGCGTGGCTCAGGCGGAGGTCGCTCTTGGGCTTGCCTTTGCGCGGAAACTTCTGCGCGTGGCTGCGCCGGGTCCCGTTGAAGGCACCGCCCAGCACCTTCTGGAACCGTGCAATTATGCCAGATGGCTGACCCCCAGTCTGTTCCAGGTTGACCCCGCCCAAGTGCACGCGGTGCATTGGCCCTCCCGCGCCAGGGTCGCGGAGGATGTCGACGGCGCGCGCATTGCCGCCGCGCGGGGGGGTCGACGGGCGCCCGCGGTCGCCATAGCCGGAAGGCGCGCGGAGCGTGGGCTCAGCGCCGCCCAGCCACTGCGGCTCCGCTGCCTCCACGGCGGTAGAGCCTCTCGCCCGGGGCTGGCGGGCCTGGGGGCGCCCGCCGCCAAGGGCGTCGTGGGCGCTGGCGCCCCGAAGGCACCGAGGGGGTCGTCTTGCGAGCTGTCCTCTGGAGCCATCTCTCGGTCGCCTTCGAGGGGTTCGACTGTGGCGGGTGGCTGGTGGTCGTGCTTGATGTCGTCTTCAGCGTCGACCGCCAAGCCTGGCGACGGTGCTGCGGAGGCCTGAGACCCGGCGAAGTCGACAGAGTCCTTCTCCGCGGGAGAGCCGACGTCGTCTTTTGGTGCCAGGGAGGGGCCAGGTAGCTCTGGATCTCGCCCAGGTTCACCACTGGGGGCAAGTCCCTCGTGCCTGTCCTGCGGCGGTTCCTCTCCTGTGGCCGGGTCTTGCACGTGGCCAGAGGGGTCGGCGGGGGCGCCCAGGTCCGCGCGACGCCCAGGGCGCCGCTCACGCGGGGACACGCCGGCCTCTGGCTTGAGGGAGAGCCAGGCCCCCGCTCTCTCATCGGTTGCGGGTTGCAGGGCAGCCTCGCTGCCGCCAGTGCCCACTGGGCCCTGGAGCGCGAGCTTGGCGAGGGTGACCGCCGCGAAGGCGCTTTCGTGGAGGCTTTCCAAGAAATAAGTGGAAAACAAACCTACCTCGCTTTTGACCACCCCTCGCTTCCAAGAGATGCCAAACGATGCCAAATTGCAGCCTGCACCGGTCAGGCCGCTTGACAAGGAGGCGCGTGGTATGGCTTGGTTCTGCCTGGAAGCGAAAGCGGGGTAGGTGAGTCACGCTCTGAAGAAGCCCGCGAGCACGTCGCGCTCGTGCCGGAAGGGGTCGGGGCCCTTGTCCCGCGCCAGGGAGGAGTAGCATTCCTGCCAGGTGCCCTCGTCGCGTGGGCCACTGGCGAAGTGCTTCGCCAACCTGGCGGCAGCCCAGCGCTTGCCGCCCCAGTCGACGTGGGGTGGTTGGTCGTCTGCCGAAAGGGTACTAGGCTCTTGGCCGGCCAGGCTGTTTCCTGGCCCCTCGAGCCGGGGATTTCGGCTCTCTGGGCAACCGCGAAGTTGCGCCAGTGGGCGTCTACCGCGGGATGGAATTCGCGGAGGCAGTTCACGAGGATGTGATCCACGTCTCGCACCCGTTGGCCCTGGCGCGCATCTGCTCGTCTTCTGCTCCCAGGCAGAGGTCCGCGACGCCCCTCGAGCTCAGCTGGGGGAAGCTGGGCGGGTCGAGGTCGGGCAGGAGGGCGAGGATGCCTGGGCCCGATCTGCTTGGAGAGCCGCTGTCGCCGCCGCGCTCCTCTCTGTCGCTTCTCTGGCGCCCCGTGCCCCTCGCGCCACCGCGTCGCTGGAGCGCTGTCCCTGGCGGCGGCGCAGGCGCGTTCGCTGGGCAGATGGTCGGCGACATCCAGGGGGGCTTGCTCCGCGATGCCCTGGCGCTGTCTCTTGGCAGGGTTTGCCGGGTAGACCTGATGGAAGCCGCGATCTAACATCCGATCGAGGGTGCTTGGTGCAACGTTCCAGATATAGACCCGGCGCCTCCTGCAGCCCCACTCTGCGTTCCATTTCCGCCCCTGCCAGGCTGACTGCGACTGGCCCCAGGGAGGGGGGCCGGGGCCGTCGTCGGCGTCTGTTCTGGGCTCAGGGCGCCACCGGAAGCAGCCGAGAGCGGGGTCCGTGACCTTCCAAACGAGCAACGGCGCATCTGGAGGGCATGCGTCGCATTTCAAAGAGTTGCAGTGGGTGTTGCGCGCATCTCCTCCGAATCCCCCGTCGTTGAGCCTGCGCGCGGGCAAGGTCGAGTTCGCCAGGGTAGGGCAGCGCTGTTTGGCTGTGACCATGAGGAGTTCCATCAGCGAGACTGGGTCCGCCGCGCAAGGGCGCGCCCCATGCCCTAGGGGGGGGTGCGCTAGCGAGGGAAGGGCGGCCGCCTTCTTCTGCTCTCTGCCGTCTGCGAGGTTAGCATTGTAGTCCTGCGCCTTCTGCATCATGGTGTCGAGGGTGTGGGCAGGCCGCGCGTCTCGACGCTGGCGACCCAGCATGCCTCGCAGAGCCACCTGCAGTTGCTTCCCGAGAGGTATGCCTGCGGGCGATTGATTCTGCGCCAGGGGCTCTCGTGTCTCGTCGCACTCCCAGGTCCCGATTGTGGACGTGACGCCGGCCCTGCCGCATGCGTCGCAGGTGAACTTGGCGCCCTTCTGATTCGCTCCCAGGCGGCCGCCTGGTATGCACGGGGGGGTCAGACGTACGCCAGGGGCGGGGGAAGCGGGCTGGGGGGCTCCCAGGTCCTTCCTCGACAGAGCAGTGCCTCCGCCGATGTAGTCCAGGGCCGGGTCGTCGTCTGATTCGCCTGGCCCCGTGTCGGAGTCTGCCAGTTCGCGGTGGAGCGCGCAGATGGAGCACTTGGCGTTGGCCAGGGTCGCGACGTTGGCTGCAGGTACGATCCGCTCCAGGACGAGCATGGGCGCCTCCAGCATGAAATCGTGCGTTTCCAAGTCTTGCCAGGTCTGTGGGCACTTGGCCTGTCGGGCTGCCTTGTGCTGGTGGGCAACCGTCACCAGCCTGGACACGTGAAGTAGCGCGTCTTCGATGCGACCGTGTAGGGTAGTCAGGTCGTCCAGGGTGAGCCCCCAAGTCTCGGCAAACCTCGTGCGGAACTCCAGGTGGGCGTCCTGCCAGTGGACGCAGCTGTCGAGCATCGCCTCGACGTCGTCCCCCAAGCCCTCGGCGTGGGGGAACGGCCACAAGAAGACCCTGGGCTCCCAAAGCCATGAGCATCATGATTATGAGGATGGCGCGGGCCTTGGGGGAGCCCAGGGGTTCCCCATCCGAGTCGATCATGCCACGTCTGGATGGCTGGTTGGGGGGGGGCTGGCTGCAGGAAATGCGCCAGGGCATCCATGCCAGGGTGCTGACGATGCCTGCAACATTCACGGGCCCCCGGGCCCCAAGCCGCCGGAACCTGTCTGCGCAGGCCCTTCGGCGTGCACTGTCGGTTCGCCCTGGAGCGGTGGCCGCGCCCGCGGGTCAGAGGTGGGGGCGGCAGGGTCTCGGCGGGGACAGCGAGTTCCTGCTCCTCCCACGGGGTGCCCAGCCCCAAGACCCAGATCAGGGACGCTCAAAGCATGTTGCAAACCAGGTTGCTAGCGTCGAGACCCAGGGACATGTCATAGAGGAAGCCCAGATGTGACCAGGTTTTACGATCGAATCTCTCGGGCTCCCTCGGCGCGTCGGCAAGGGAGAACGCATGTGGGTGCAGCCCTGAGACTAAGTAGAGCACCGCAAAGAAGGCGGGGGTGGCCAGGAGCTGGTCGAGGCTGTCAACGAGCCCGTCGCCCAACGCCTCCCAGCTGAAACCAGGGTCGAGCGGCGCCTCGATGCGGTTTGCGAAACGCGTAGAATTTCCTGGGCCTCTACTAAAACTATCTTCTGGCTGCCTTGGGTCGTCTCGGGGGCCCCAGGGCCCTACATTTCATTCGTAGTCGGGGACCGGCCCCCGTATGAGTGTGGGGGTCACGAGGGTTTGGGGCCCTGCCGGGCTGCAGACCTGGTCAACATCGGTGCGTTTCTTCGAAACTAAAGGGGCCCACAAACACACAAATAAATACACACAAATCCCTGGATCCCCCACATTTTTCTCATATTTTCTGGATTTTCGTCGTCCCCCCCACTTCCCATCTTTTTCCATATTTTCCGGGGGATCGACGATTAATTGTGTCTGTGTGTGTTTTCCCCTCCTGAGAGACGCCAGCTGCGCGCGACATGCTACTTCAACTTAATCTACAGTGGCGTAGTTTCGGCCAGTGCCCCTTTATTCACGAGGGGCCTGCTTACCGGCAGGAAACACCTGGGGCTCGACCGCAGGTCGCGCCAGGAAAGCAGGCGCCGAGTGTCCTGCACTCCTCGATGGCCTCGCTCAAGGCCGCGAGATTGTTCAGGAGCACGGCGCTGCTGACCTTCGCGCGCATGGCGTCCTCCAGCTCCTCTCGCACGGCTCCGAGGGGGACGTCGGCGGCGAGCAGTGGGGCGGAGTAAGAAGAAGAAGAAGAAGAAGAAAAACAAACGCGTCCTCAGAAGGCGGCGGGGCTTTTCAAAAGGCTGAACGGTTTTCTGTGTCTTCGGGGAAGGTTCAGAAAACTTCTCAGAAGGCCAAAAGGCCTCCGGCGTTCTGAAAGGTTGTCTGTGTCTTCGGGGACTTCTTAGAAAACTTCTCAGAAGGCTAGAGCACTTCCGACTCTTCCAAGAAGGCCTGCCCCTTTCTCACTTCTCCCCCCACGCTCGCCACCGAGGATGTGGGGATCGAAGATCGACGTGGGGTTTATGCTCCCACGCTTCGATGTATCATCCCAGCGAAGGCTTCGACCGTGTTGCGCGAACGCCAGCGCTGCGACTAAACATGCGCCCCTGCATTCGACACATGACTGACAGCGGGGGCTGAGGAGTGAGATCGAAGTGTTGGGCGTCGCTTGGGGGCGATGTATGGGGGGGAGAAAGGTGCACTTGTCGGGCCGGACTGACAGCGGAGGCTGATGGGTGAGATCGAAAGGTTGGGCGTCGCTTGGGGGCGATGTATGTGGGGAGCAAGGTGCACTCGTCGGGCCCTCAACGGCCCCCTTTGGGGCCCCAAAGGGCCTCCACAACCCTCGCTGCCCCTCTATGTATCGCACAGAAATTGAACGGTACCACGCCACTGGGAAATCCGTGACGGCTTCGGTTCGTGTTAGGTCGGGCATGTCTGTCTACAAGCGGATTTTGGACGAAACATAAACATAGCCAACAAACATTCAACAAAGTGGAAGAATCGTCCCCAGACGACTTCTTCACTACTTTGGAATTTTCCCCCTGTAGAAGGCACGCCCGACGTAAGATTCGCGTCGCGCATGACGAGAGAGCTAGCGAGGCGAGGCGAAGTTGCTCGAATTCCTGCCCTAGCAGAAGCTCAGCCAAGCCAGAACGAGTCGCCTGAGCCTGGGCGTTGTGTCGCACTTGGTTGTCCCGATGGTTATCCCGACGGTTGTCCCGATGTTTGTCCCGATGATTGTCTATGGTCGTCTTGGTGGATGTCCTGATGGTTGTCCCGATGGTTATGCGAGGCTATATTTCCAAAACGTGCGCTGCCCGAGGTCATCGTGCAAACAAAATGCGCTCTGCGAGGCCACACTACCAAAATTGAGCGACGTGGGGGAATCCCATATGTGCACCTCAACTCATGGTCTTCCCGTCTGCGAGTACAAGAATCCTAGCCTGTGGCGACTGAGCGCTGGCACCCCGTCCCCCCCGTGGATCGCCCACATGCTGTGCCTGCTGCGTCGGGGTGGTCTCGGGCCTCTGGCGAAAGAATGTATGGGGGGCCCACAGCAGCGTTCCGCCGGACTTGAGCGAGACATCCTCACGATCTCGCCTCCCTGTGGACTGCTAAAGCAAACGCCTCGCTCGAGGCATCCGCACGCTCTGCTCTGACAGCAAGGGACGCCTCAGCCACGAGACGAGCAGACCGCCCGACACATCTCCGCAGTCCGGCCGCGAACGGGCAGGGGTAACACTCCCTGGCGGCGTCTCCTCGGGGTGTCCACATGCCGCACCCGCTGTGTCGCGGTAAGCATTGGACTCTCAACTGACAGGCTGGGGGGCGCAGCCAACCCGTAGAGTGAGGATGCGAGATAAGGACGCAAGGGCCTCGGAAGGCCACTTCGGAGCTTCCGAACGGGGCGCGGACAGCGAAAGTGGCCAAGGATGGACCGAGGAGGCAAGGACGCAAGGGTATCATTGGGAAGGGTGCCCACCCTTCCTGTGCGGGTTGACTGTACAAACAAGCGAACCGTTTCATTCATGCCCACACTCTGGGCGCGAGTGGACATGTGGAACACCCGCTAGTGTTTTGTGCCCGGACAGAACACTCGGGCGACACAACCCGAAGGGAGGTGCCCAAGGTGCCTGCATGACTCCACATGCAGTCGGACCTCGCAACGTGAACGGCGGCACGGACCCGCCCCAGGCGTCCCATCTGCGCCGCCGTTGCGAGGTGTCTCGAGATGCCACCCCGAGACACGGCCACTGGCACCAGCGGAGGCCCCGCTGCCCAAAAACTTAAGTTCCCGCGCCCCCCACGTCGGGGGACCCCTTCTCGAGTAACCCCATCGGGCCTCTCAGGGGTGGTACGGCGAGCCCGCACCTCCTGAGGCTGGCCAACCACAGGGCAAGAATCTCTCCCACAGCCCCGTCAAACTGTGGTGACGATCGGGCTGCCAACCCGCTTGTTTTCTTGGTGCGCCACGAGGGACGATCAGCGGCACAGGTGCCCGCTGGTGGTTCCTCCCTGGGGTGTCCCAGTGCAACGCCCGCTTTGTCGCGGTGGCCACTGGGCTCTCAAAAGAGATAACTCTAACGAACTAAGCACGCAAGCCAGCTGAGACATCTCCACACTCTGGGCGCGCACAAAGCCGTGCAACCACCCCTGGCAGTTCCCTCCGTGGAGTGCTGAAACCACCGCCTTGCCCGAGACATCCTCACCAATTGACTGTGAGGCGAACCTGCGTGTGAGTTGTCTGTGTGCGTTAGTCTGCGTACACAGCTGCTCAGGGTTATGAACACTTTCAGCTCAGAAGCTGGGCTTCACTGGAAGCTTCTTTTTTTTTTGAACCAGCAGTCCAGGCCCACATATAGGAGCATGCGGCGAAGAGAAGAAGCTGCAAGAAAACGCCCAGGCTCCAGTCCAGATTCTGGAATGGTACGGCTTCATGAATTTGGGCGAATTCTGAAGTCCATGAAAGTGACAATGTACCTTCAGATGTCTGAGCGGTGTATGAATGAGTCTAGGTGTGAAAGGATTCTGAGTGTTTATGGATCTGGATGTGAGAAGTGAGCCTGAGTGCGAGTGTAGCTGCGCATGAGTGTAAGTGACACCGCTGCTGCATTGCGGTCACCACGGGGCTCTCAACAGAGATGGGCCGGATTAACCAATCCCGCAAATCACCTAAAACATCCCCACTTGGCCGCGGACGTGCAAGTGACATGCCCCCTGGCAGCTCCCCCCTTGGGGAGCCCAATTGCCAGTCCAGCTCTCTCGCAGTGATCGCTGGACGATCAAGGAGATGAGTCTGGTCCAACGAACACGTAAACTGCCTGAGACATCCCCACAATCTGGGCGCGAATGGGGACGCGCTACCAACCCTGGCGGCTCACCCTTGGGGTGCTGACACCACCGCCTCGTTCGAGACATCCGCACAAGTTGAGTGTGGGGCGAGCCTGAGTGAGAGTGGTCTGCGCGAGTGAATCTGAGCGCAGTGACCCTGATGGTTGTCTCGATTGTTGCCCCGATGGTTGTCTCGATGGTTGTCCAGATGGTTGTCCCGATGGCTGTCCCGATGGCTGTTGCCCTGAAGCCATAATACCAAAGAAATACGCTCTGCGAAGCCATACTCAAAAATTATCCTGGCGAAGGACTCAACCATAAACAATTGTTCGTAACGCGTTGCGGGTGTCACTTTCGGTGGGGCTCCCTATGGGGCCGCGAAACGCTGCCTTGGGTGGGGGAACCGCCTGCGAGAGCAGCCACTGGGGCCTTCGGTGGAGCTCCCTATGGGGCCACGAAGCGCTGCCCTGGGCGTGGGAACCGCCTGCGAGAGCAGCCACTGGGGGCCTTCGGTGGAGCTCCCTATGGGGCCACGAAGCGCTGCCCTGGGCGGGGGAACCGCATGCGAGAGCAGCCACTGGGGGCCTTCGGTGGAGCTCCCTATGGGGCCACGAAGCGCTGCCCTGGGCGGGGGAAACGCATGCGAGAGCAACCACTGGGTCCTTCGGTGGAGCTCCCTATGGGGCCACGAAGCGCTGCCCAGGGTGGGGGGAACGGGAACGCATGTGAGAAACAAATAGACACAAATGACAGGAATTCCTGTATTTTCCCATGTTCTCAGGGGTTTCGTCGCCCCCCCCAACTTCCCACATTTTCCTGTATTTTCCGGGGGATCGACGATGAATTGTGTCTGTGTGTGTGTTTTGTCCCCTCCTGGGCAGTGCACAGCGCTTTTGTTCGCTGGAGTTGGCGGAGGCGGCCACGGCGCGTCGCGTCGTGCAGCGAGGGCAGCTGCGCTGCGGGGGGGGGGGGGGCGGTAGGCGGACGGCGGCGTGGGTTAGTCGATCCTAAGAGACAGGGATGTTCCGCACACGCAGGCTTTGCCTCGTCTCTCGTCAACCAGGACGTGGATACTGTATGGCAACGTAAGAGAATTCGGTGACGCAGGGGGGAGCCTTGGGAAGCGTTGTCTTTTCTTTCAGGCAGGAGGGCAGGCATCAGAAGCAGCGCTGAGAAGATCAGAGTCGGCCGTTGGGGACTGAGGCCTGCGACCAGCCCACCGTGCCTCGAGCACAGGCCCATACTGACCACGACACCCACGGAGACCGCCCCGAGGATGGCTCGGACCGTCTCGGCGCCGTCGGAGCGACGGGAACACGCCGGACTCACGCGAGAAGGCATGGCGACTTTACGCCGCGGCATACGCGGGCCGCCCGTGCGGCACGCCGCGTGGCGAAGCGGGCGCCTACGCCCGACCTTGCGCGGGAAGCTTTCTGGCACCCGGTGGCGGAGAACGACCCAGGCCGGCCTGGCTTAAGCCGCCGGTGGCCTTCAGCCTTGAGCGCCCGCGGCGGTGTCGCCGCTTCACGGGCGCGGCGCGCAGCTGCGGAGGGCCGGGCCGCGCTGAGCAGTTGCCCCCCCAGGACCCCTCCTCGGGCAGCTTCCTGCCCAGCTACTCGGGCTGCGTCCAGCTGGGACCACGAGAACGCTCCCCGATCGCCCCCCCTGTCACTCCGCGGCAGGCGAGGGGGGGAAGCGGGAAGGAGAAGGCCTTTACAGAAGGCTGGGAAGTCCCCCGGCCTTCTGAGAAGTTTTCGAAGCCTTCCCCGAAGACACCGGACACTTTTTAGAAGACGCGAGGGCTTCCGAGAAGTCCCGCCGCTTTCTGCGATGGCCTTCTCCTTTTCATATTCCCCCCTTCGCTCGCCGCCGAATCACAAGAGCGACACTCTCGCACCACAAGGGCGACTCGTCCTTGTCACACGAACGACTCCCGGAACTGTGAGCTCATACGGATTATTTGTTTGGACCTACTCTTGGGTCGGGCATGTCCCCCTGCAGGCGGATTTTGGGCGAAGGCTAAGGATAGCCAAAAAACAAGTACACAAGCAATAGTCAAACGAATCATCCAAAAATCGCCCCCAAAGCATGTTTGGACTGGTTTACCCGACTTCAACCCACTCTCTGGTCGCCGCCGCCGCGTCGGCGCGCGCGGGCCCCCCCCCCCGGGCACGCGCGCGCCCCGACGCACGGGCAGGGGCGCGCGCGCGGCAGAGAGGGGGGGGCTCCCGCACGGGCAGGCCGGAGTAGTAGCCCTCCGAGACGGCCTCGAGCAGCGCGCCCCTCTCCGCGCTCTTCACGGCGACCTTCAGGGCCTCGCGGGGTCCAGGGGAAGAGCCCCGCACGGGCTGCCCGCTGGCTCCCATGGCTGGGATCCTGCACATGTGGGGGGGCGGGCAGACCGTGCCCCCCCCCCGACACGGAAGACGGTGCTTCTTCTCCTGTCGAGCAAGGTGCCCTTCTCCGCGCTCGTGATGGCGACCTCCAGGGCCTCGCGGGGTCTGCGGCCTCTGGCGACTCGAGAGCACGGCGGTGCGCCGGAGGCCGTTCGCCCCGTGCGGCCTCCACATGGGGCCGCAGCTGGGCCCCGGGGCCGTCGGGAAACAGTCCGCGACGAAAGCTGGCCCACGCGAGCGCATGCGCAGACAGCCTTCTTGTCGGTGTGCCCACCACCTGCGGCCGTGAGAACGCCGGTGTGCCCAGCACCTGTGCGCAATCTTGCGCGCAGCTATGATCACACACACACACACCGTCGCATGCAGTCCGCTGCCGCTGGCACCAGTCTCGGCCGTTCTCTGGACTGCGATCAGGCATTGCACAGACCCACCGGCTCCTCGATGGGCACCCCAAGCAGCATTCCACACCGAGGCCCCATGCTCTGCTCTGGTGCGGCTTCAGGATGCCAACCCAGTCCATGCGTTGCGCACGAGACACTGCCGTGGGTCGTGGGTCGCGGGGTGGGCGGGTGGGTCGCTGGTCGCGGGGTGGGTCCCGGGGTGGGTCCCGGGGTGGGTCGCGGGTGGGCGCGGGGTGGATCGCGGGTGGGTCGCGGAATGGGTCGCGGGGCTGGTCGCGGGTGGGTCGCGGGGTGGGTCGCGGGGTGGTCGCGGATAGGTCGCGGGCGGGTCGCGGGGAGGGTCGTGGGGTAGGTCGCGGGGTGGGTCGCGGGGCGGGGCGCGGGTGGGACGACGCCAAACAACAACAACAGCAGCAACAACAACAACCACAACAACAACCACAACAACAACAACAACAACAACAACAACAACAACAACAACGACGACAACAACAGCACCAGCACCAACACCAACACCAACACCAACACCACCACCACCACCAACAACAACAACAACAACAACAGCAACACCAGCAACACCAACAACAACACCAACAACATCATCAACAACAGAAACAGCAACAACAACAACAGCAACAACAACACCAACTACATCAACAGCAGCATTAACATCAACAACGACAACGCCAACGTCAACGACAACGACAACAGCAGCAGCAGCAACAACAACAACGAGCATTCGCAACGCTGAGTTCCAGCTCAGCCACGCACCCAGGGACAGTGAATGACCGTTCGGCCCCCTCGGAGGACACCTTGATCCTCGGAGGTGCGCATAAGAGGTCCACGAAACTGCGCATAAAGCTACGCTCTTCGGGCCCTGAAGGCGCCCTGCTGGGCCCTACTGGGCCTCGTTTCTGCAGCCCTCGCTGCCCCCCCATTGATCGCCCCCACTCTACGCGACGCCCAAGGGTAGGCGGTCGGGCCCCTGTCTGCGATGAACGGGCGATTGGCGACTGGGGATCGATGCGCCCCCCCGGGGCCTCTCCCCCCCTGCCGCGGTCGGGGCTCGGGAACCTTTGCTTCGCGCGTCGCGGCGGCAGCCCGACGCCATGCGCTGCGAGCCGATCGCATGTCGCGTCGGCCCGCGGGGTGGGAGACCCCCAAAAAGGGCTCGGGACGTGGACCCTTGGGGGCCGGGATGCGGCCAGCGTGCCTCGCCGCAGCGTGCTGGGTCAGAATCGGCGGCGCGACACGCTGAGCCGAATTTTTTCGACCGTAAGGAAGAGGAGGAGGAGGAGGAGGAGGAGGAGGAGGAGGAGGAGGAGGAGGTGGAGGAGGAGGAGGGGGAAGATGAGGAGGAGGAGGAGGAGGAGCAGGGGAAGGAGGAGGAGGAGGAGGAGCTCCAACGTAGCTGCGAGGCGGGGGTCTGTCCATGTCCACCGCCTGGGCACCGACGTCCTGGTGCCCCAGCGGGCGGTGGATGCAGACAAATGTCGGCCCCCCGAGGCCCGACGATGTGCATATATCCACCGCCCGTGGAGGTCCGCGAAGATCGATCCCCCAGGCGGCGGTTTTAGACAAATCCCCGCCTCGGAGTAGCGTTGCCCCTGGAGAGGCTCCCCTGGCCAGCAAAAACATGAGGCCCCCGAGCTCGACGTCGTCGTCGCCGGCGCCGAAGCGTGCTGGGCCAGAACCGGCGGCGCGACACGCTGAGCCGAATTTTTTCGACCGTAAGGAAGAGGAGGAGGAGGAGGAGGAGGAGGAGGAGGAGGAGGAGGAGGAGGAGGAGGAGGAGGAGGAGGGGGAAGAGGAGGAGGAGGAGGAGCAGGGGAAGGAGGAGAAGGAGGAGGAGCTCCACACACACACACATACACACACACACACATACGCACACACACACACACACATACGCACACACACACACACACACAAAAAAAAAAAAACATGAGGCCCTCGAGCTCGCCATCGTCGTCGGCGGTGCCTCGCGGGCCAGCTCCTGCCTCTCGGGCGTGTTGCCCACCCTGCGCCGCAGCCTGCTGATGTGCAGCTCGAGCATCGTCAGGCTGCGGGGAGGGCGAGGGAGGGAGGGAGGGAGGGAGGGAAGGGAGGGCGGGAGGGGAGGGGAGGGCGGGAGGGGAGGGAGGGGATGGGAAGGGGAGCGAAGGGAAGGGAGGGAGGGGAGGGGAGGGAGGGGAGGGGAGGGAGGGGAGGGAGGAGAGGGGAGGAGAGGGGAAGGGAGGGAGGAAGGGAGGGAGCATCGTCCGCCTGCGCCGCGCCTCTTTCCCTGCTCCTCTGCACGGCTTCCTCCACAGACGGGCACGTTCCAGGCCGCCGCGGAGCGGAAAGCGAGGGAGCAGGAGGAGGACAAGAAACGGACAACTTGGGCGTCCGGGGTCCGCGTGTCCGAAGTCGCGCGCGTGGAGAGGCAATCGCGGCTCCACAGAAGGCAGGAGCGCATCCCCGCAAGATTCGGAAGACGACGACGACGACGACGACGACGACGACGACGACGACGACGACGACGACGACGACGACGACGACGACGACGACGACGACGACAAGAACACGAGCGCAGGGGAGGGAACGAACGACGATGCGACAGGGGAGAGGACACCTGGGGCGCGGAACGACCCTTGCATGCACAAGCGCGCGCAGAGCCTCGCGGCGAGGACGGGAGAGGAGGGCAGCCGGGGAGGGGGGACAGACAGAGAGGCTCGGCCGAGGCAGACAGGGAGAGGAGAAGCAGGCAGCCAGGGAGGAGAGGAGAGGCAGACAGAGAGAGGAGAAGCAGACAGAGAGAGGAGGACAGACGGGGAGGGGTGACAGACGGGGAGGGGAGAAGCAGACCGCCAGAGAAGCTCGGCCGCCCCTCGGGGCGACCCCGGCGAGGGGCGACGGACGGCCAAGCGCAGGGAACGAAAGGCGACCAGCAGAAGAGACACGAGAGAGATCCGCTGCCCCTCGATGGGGGCTGCGGTTGGACCCGGGACAGGAGAACATCCTTCGAGAGCAGAGGCCCTCCGCCGGCCCAAACTGAAAACCATTCGAGGGTGCCTTCCAACAGAATGCACAAGAGCCTCCAACAAACACGAAACACATTGGGGCACCATCCCCCAGCCGACCTCGATCTTATACCTCGGTCCGACCGTCTTCCGAATCGCACGAGATAAGACTCTAGCGCCACTGCGCGTGGCATCACAGGAGGTATGCCCACAAGCTGAGAAAGCGTATCGCACCGGAGCGGAGGACGAGAATGAGCACGGGGGTGGGGAGAAGGACGAGGAGGAGGACGAAGAGGAGGAGGATCAATGTGCGCTGTGCTTTTCCCCGCACACGCCTGTGCTGTGCTCTCGTTTTGAATGCAGCGCTCTTGTTGCTCCCTTCGTTCCTCCTTCCTCTCGCCCGCTTCCCTCCTTTCCGTCCCTCTCTCCCACCTCTACTCCCTCCCTCCCATTTCACCGCTCTCCCCCCTCACTCTTCTATCCTCCCCTTTCCTCCTCCTCCTCCCTCTTCTATCCTCCCCTTTCCTCCTACTCCTCCCTCTTCCTCCTCCCCCTTCCTCCTACTCTTCTATCCTCCCCCTTCCTACTCCTCCCTCTTCCTCCTCCCGCCTCCTCGCCCCTCGCCCCTCTCCGCTTCTCCTGCCTCTCTCGACGTCCGTCTCGCTCCATCGCTTTCCCTTCTCCTCGAGCCCAAGCCCCCGAAGTGATGACTTCTCCATAGCGTCAACCCCCAGAGGTCTCGACCCATGCCCCGGGGCTGGTGTTTCATCCTGATCCTTGGTCGTTTTTTGATTGCCCTGGGACACGGTAGGGTCCCTCCGAGGCCCAAAACTGCGATAGCCTTTCCATCCTGGTTGTTCACGACGCGAGCATGTCTCGGGGCGTTGGGGGGGGGGGGGGCGGCGGCGGGCGCGGCGCCTCTTCGACCTCTGGCCCTCGCCCATTTCCACGTCGCCCGGCGGG